TAAGTGCAGCCATGTCGTCCAAAGCCCATTGGGTCAGAAGAGGGCATTAGATTCCCTGGAACCAGAGTTACAGATGGTTGTTAGCCTCTGTATGGGTGCTGGAAACTGAACCTGGGTCTTCCCTCTGCAAGTGAAACCAGTGTGCTCAACCACTGAGCCATCTCTTCCAGACCCTCATAAAGGACAATAAAGATTCTGCAATAGCAGCTCAGTATGAGCTGTCCAAGACAGTTTCATGAAAGCACCAAAGGAGTGGCTGGGGTGGAAGGGTTGTGGGTTTCAGGTGGCGGGTGTGAGTAGACAGGCAGGTATGAATAGCTGGGGTGAACTGTCAGGTGTGGGTGTGCCATTCTAGAAGGCAAGGGTATGGGGCTGGAGAGACAGCTCAGCGGTTAAGAGCACTGGCTGCTCTTGCGGAGGCCCCAGGATCTCTGTGAGATTCAGGCCAACCTGGTCTACATAGCAAGTTCCAGATCAGCTGGGGCTACAGGGAGACCCTGTCTCAAAAAGACTGAAAAAAAAGAGAGCAAGGCTGTGAAGATGGAATGGGCCAAGCCAGCACATCCAGACAGACTTTTGAAATCTTTGTGTCCATCTGTCTGTATGTCTGTTGAGACAGGGTCTCACTTTGTAGCCCTGCCTGACCTGGTACTTGCTGTAGTCAAGCTGGCCACAAATTCAGAGAGCCACCTGCCTCTGCCTCCCAGGTGCTGGGATTAAAGGCACATGCTACCACACCTGGCTTTATTTATTTTTCTTTTTTGCTTTTTGAGACAAAGTAACCTAGGCTGGCCTTGACAACAATATGTAGCCAAGAATGACCTGACCTTCCAATCCTTCTGCCTCCACTTCCCAAGTGTGGGGATGACAGGCATGCATCTTCATGCTCAGCTGTCATCTTAAGATACATGTTAAAACACTTGGTGTACAAGACTCTCCTCCCAGCCAGACAGATGCCATTTTCAAGAGTTCAGCTGTGTCTTCTTGCAAACCATCTTCCCAGCCGGCTCATTGACTATTGATGTTCCTCATAGAAGGAGAAGTAGAGAGAGTCATGGGACCCTGGCTTGACCATCCGGCCATGCCTCCCAACCAGGTATATGCAGTTCTGCCCTAATTGCATATGGCCTCAGGGTCTTGGGAGCTGGGAAGGTCTAGGGGACTCCATGAGCACAGCCATGGGAGAGTTATCCCCATGCTGGGTGCAGACTTCCACCCTGGGTGCAGTGTGGCAGCATAAGGTCACCCTTACTCTCTTGCCCATGACCCAATACTCTGCAAGTAAGCCTGATAAACTCACTGATTCTGCAGAGTGAACTTTGGTGGAATCTTTACTCAGCTTGTCCTTAGAACCTTGGTAAGAGAGTGGATGCTGTTCACCCCCCCACCCCCTCCCACCCCCGCCAAGGAAGGAATTTTAGCCGCACTGTACTTGTAAGCTCCTTACTAAGAGAGAGTGGCCTAACTAAAGTTTTTACACTCTGAAAGACTGTTCATCTATATGTAAAAATGTTTGTAGCTGCTCTGGATATGGTAGCACTATGAGGTAGAAACAGGAGGATCAAGAGTTCAAAATCATCCTTAGTGTGTTCAAGGCCAGCCTGTGCTTCATGAAGCTGCTACTTGAAACCCTGTCTCCAAAAAAAAAGAAGGGGGATATTTGTAGCAGACCTTTTCTTGAGAAGTCTGTGCACACTCTTGGATATGCTCTATCCTTTTCCTAAGTGCCTTTCTCTCCCTGCTAATGCTTGTGCTTAAACCTGTCAGAAACATTTTTGGAGCTGGGCATGGTGGTACATACCTTTAGTCCCAGCACTTGGGAGGCAGAGGCAGGTGGATCTCTGTGAGTTCAAGGCCAGCCTGGTCTACACAATAAATTCCAGGCCAGCTGGGGCTACAGGGAGACCCTGTCTCAAAAATACAAAAAAATAAATAAGTAAATACATTTGGGGGGAACTGAAGAGATGGCTCAGCAGATATGAGCACCGGCTACTCTTGGACCTGGGTTCAGTTCCCACCACCTACATGGCAGCTGACAGCCATCAGTAACTTCAGTTCCAGGGGATCCAACACCCTCTTCTGACCTCCACAGGCATTACTCGACATGGGTGCACTTACATACCGGCAGGCATAGCATTCATACATATAAAATAAAAATAAATAAATAAATTTTTAGAACATTTTGTAATTGGCTGTGTGGAGGTGTGCACCTGTAATCCCGGCACTCAGATGTTGGAAGCAAAATGGACAGGTCCCAGCCAGCCTGATCTACACAGAGAGATCCTGCCTGGGAATTTACTAATGGGGTGTCCTCTTGGAACCACTCCTACCCTCAGGAGCCTTTTTCACCTTTCCTTAATAAATCTACATTTGCCCTGCCCCCTGAAATAGTAACAGTGACCACTGTTCATACCAGGAGACTGTTTCTCAATGAAGTGCTAGACTTCCACTTTGTGAAAATTCAGTAACCAGTATGCTAATGGCTTATACATTTTTTCATATGTATGGTATGTTGAAAAAGGTGGTTTTTCTTTGAGGGATTGTTTATGGATTTGGGTTTGTTTTTTTTTTTTCCTGAGACAGGGTTTCATTAGCCCAAACTTAGGTTTCTGGGGTGCTGGGGTCAAATCCAAGGCTTCCTGTGCTTTAGCCAAACACTCTATCGATAAACTGAGCTCTGTCCCCAATATCCCCAGCCCCTTGACAGATTCTTTTTTTTTTTTTCAAACCTGGTGGGGTGCACTTACATTCTTACAGGCAAAACACTCATATACATAATAATGTAAGCAAATGAATGAAATTTAAATAAATATCTTTTTGTCACAATGTAGACCTAACTTGTCTCCTAGGACAGTATGTGAAGATTTAGGTGTAAGCAAATATGTAATTAGTGAAACAAGTGAATTATGAAATTGTATATGTAATATGACCTCATGTCTGTAATTATATACTTAGAAATACAAGCATATACAGAAAGTAATGAGTATAGTTACCAAGATACTAATTAGATGATAATCTCTGTGTGAAAGAATTATAAATGATTTTATTTTCTTAAGTTTTTCCCTTGGTCTATTTAATTTCCAAAAATTTCAATTCAGGGAGCTGTTGAGATATCTCAGGAGTAAAGGTATTTTCCAGTAAACTGATAACCTGAGTTCCATCCCCAGAGCCCACATGGTAGAAGGAGAGCACCCACCCCCACAAGTAGTCCTTTGACCTCTACTAACAAACTGCAACATATATGCACCCACACATATACACACACTAAATTAATTAATTAATCATTAGGGGCTGGAGAGATGGCTCAGCAGTTAAGAGCATTAGCTGCTCTTGCAGAGCACCTAGGTTTGATTCCCAGCACCCACATGGCAGCTAACAACTGTCTATTATTCCAGTTTCAGGGGATCCAGTGCCCTCTTCTGACCTCCTAGGGCATTGCACAACATTGATGCACTTACATATATGTAGGCAATATACTCATATGCATAAAATTAAAAGAATGTTCTTAAAAATAAAGATAATTTCTAATTATTTTATTCAGTTTTGTAACCAGGAAATCATTTGGGGGGTGGGTACAGGGAATTAAATACAAGACCTCCTGCAAGCACTTTACCACTGAGTTTTATCCCCAACCTATAATTTGTGTTTGTTTTAAAACAGGATTTTAGGTAGCCCAGGCTAACCTCAAACTTGATATGTAGCTAAGACTGTCCTTAAATTCCTGTTCCTCCTGATCTTCCTGCTCCCATCTCCCAAATGCTGGGATTAAAAGCGTGTGTCTAGCTGGGCGTGGTGGTGCACACCTTTAATCCCAACACTCAGGAGGGAGAGGCAGGTGGATCTCTCTGAGTTCGAGACCAGCCTGCTCTACACAGTGAGTTCCAGACCAGCTGGGGCAACAGGGAGACCCTGTCTCAAAAAGACAGATAGATAGATAGATAGATAGATAGATAGATAGATGGATGGATGATAGATGGATGGATGCATGGATGCATGGATGGATAGATGATAGAGATAGATACATAGATAGATGATAGATACATCGATAGATAGATAGATAGATAGATAGATAGATAGATAGATAGATAGATAGATAGATAGATGTAAATAAATAAATAGTGTGTTCATGCCCCTACTTAATTTTTTTTAACCTTTAAGCTTTCACTCTAGAGACAGTATATATGACAAGTATCTGATAAAAGCAATCATTTCAGGGACTAGAGAGATGGCTCAGCAGTTAAGAGCAATGGCTGCTCCTCCAGAGAACCTAGGTTTGGTTCCCAGCACCCACACAGCAACTAACAACGGTTTATAACTCCAGTGGCAGGGGATCCACATCTTCTTCTTGCTTCCATTGGCACTGCACGACACGGGTGTATTTACATACATGCAGGCAAAACACTCACAGATATAAAATTAAAATAATTTTTAAAAATTTTAAAGGAGCCAGATGTGGGTGTGGTGGTATGTGCCTTTAATCCCAGGAGGCAGAGACAGGTGGATCTCTGTAAATTCAAGGCCAGCCTGGTCTATATAGTGAGTTCCAGGCCAGCTGGGGCTGCAGGGAGACGCTGTCTCAAAAAAAAGACCCCAAAAAAATTTTTAAAGGAATCATTTCAGTGGCCACGTTCCTCTATATGGTGTTTCAAAGGGCATTTGAGGTCATTTATTTTGATTTCTAACCCAGGATAGGCCATCTTACAAAAGGCTCTGCTTACTTATCTACCCAAGTTGCCCCAAGCTTCAAGCTGGATCAGTCCTTAGCCTACCTCTCACATTGATTTCCTTGCACAGGCCCAAGTACCTGCCTGGACTTTAACATTAAATGATTTTAATGCAAGGATTTTGCGAGTTGAATATAAAACCCCCAAAGGACCTAGTTCAGTAAGTCATTTCATGGAGGCATAAAGTTCCCCCAACACAGCCTGGGAGCAGAAGGGCTAGCTGTCTGTGAAAGGAACTGCCTACACGTATAACACGAGCCTCTGTGCCACTTCCAGGTACGCTGGAATCCTCCTGGGTATCACAAACACATTTGCCACTATTCCAGGAATGGTTGGGCCCATCATCGCTAAAAGTCTCACCCCTGAGGTAAGTAGAAATTTTAGTTGTAAGTGGAAAAGATTTTGGAGTTGCACATCTGTGTCAGAGTTGAGTGTGGGTCCATGATTTAAGAAAAAAAAAAAAAAAACACAGGCCTTAATGGATAGGAAGCTCACCATTTTTAGGCTGGAGGTGTGGCTCATTTGGTAGAGTGCTTGCCTAGCATGCGTGAGCCCTAGGCTCAATCCTCACTATAAAACTAGGCATGCTGGAGCCTGGAGGGAGGGAGGAGAAGGGAAGAAGAAGGGAGGAAGGACGGAGGGGAGGAAGGAAGGAGGGAGGGAGGGAGGGAGGAAGGAAGGAAGGAAGGAAGGAAGGAAGGAAGGAAGGAAGGAAGGAAGGAAGGAAGGAAGGAAGGAAAGAGTTTCATAGAACACTCTTTGGGGGCTAGGCAGAATAATAGCATTAAGTTAAATGAAAATCTTAAGGTATTTTACCAGATAATGTAGGTGTTTGGTTTGATGGTTGTGTAAAAATTAACAGTATAAAATAATTCAGAAAGGGCCAGGTGTGGTAGCACACGCTTTTAATCCCAGCACTCGGGAGGCTGAGGCAGGTGGATCTCTGTGAGTTCGAGGCCAGCCTGGTCTACATAGTTCCAGGCCAGCTGGGGCTTCAAGGAGACCCTGTCTGAGAAAAGACCAAAAAAAAAGAAAAAAAAATTTCAAAAAATTGATCGTGAAGGTGAGTGAAGTGTGAGGAAATCCGGTTAGAGTGAATGAGGAACAGTTGAAATCATCAGGAGCAGGTACAGGGCATACTTGAAGGGCTGCTAAAGGAAGGTGCTAACTTATGCCAAGTGAGGCAGTGCACACCTGTCATCCCAGTGCTTGTGAGATGGAGATACGAGAATGAGGAGTTCATGATCATCCTCAGCTCCATAGCAAGTTCAAGGCCAGTCTGGGCCATATGAGACCCTGTTGCGACAACAACACAAAAAGCCAGGAGGCTGGAGAGATGGCTTAGTGGTTTCTGGGCTCCATGGGCTTTGCACACATGCAGGCAAAACACACACACACATAAAATAAAAATGTCTCTTTTTTTAAAAGCCAGGAACAGTTCCATATGGCTATAATCCAGCATTTTGGAGGCAGAAGGTAGAGGCAGGAGAATTGCCAGTAGTTTAAGGTCAGCCTGATCTACATAAGTGCATCCCAGGCCAGCCAGTGCTGAATATCAATAGCTTGTCTCAAAGAAAGGACAAGGGAAGAAGGAAGGAAGAGAGACAACTTAGTTCTGTAAAGACAGATGGGAAGAAGTTTTAAGAGACATGAGGAAAATTCACAGTCCTAACTATGCAGCTGGATAGATACTCAAAATGTTAATGTTTGGCCCACTTCCCTCTCCCCCATAGAACCCCCATACTCCTTTCTGCTGTGGCTCCCTCCACCACCACGAGCACCATTGATTGGTTTTTTCTGAACTTTATGTGAAGGAAGTCAGTCCTGTGCACTGTGCCTGTCTTTTGCTTACTCTTATGAGGTGTGTCTATATTGTCACTCGTTCTCACTGTTACGAGGTATTGAAGAGACAGATGCTCCACAGTCCTGCTGCTCATGGAGATTCGGTTTGTTCCAAGCATGGAGATTTGTGAATGATACTCCTAATGGCTTTGTGAGAGCATCTGTTTATAACATTAGCTACAGACACTGTTTATCCTTTGCGTTTTCACCTTTCTTTGTCTAGAACACTATTAGGGAATGGCAGATCGTGTTCTGTATTGCTGCTGCCATTAACATGTTTGGTGCTCTGCTCTTCATGCTGTTCGCCAAAGGAGAGGTGCAGAGCTGGGCTCTCAGTGACCACCACGGACACAGAAACTGAAGAGACCAGCAAATAATCCTGTCTCCATAATGTATTTTTATTTATCATGTAATCTGAAAGTGCCTTTGATATTTTAAGATGTATTCTATATACAAAAAAAAAACTTGTTTAAATTTGTAATCATCAAGTCTTAGTAGTTGCCAGATTAGTTAAAGTTAGTTAAATGTTTTTAATTATTAATAGTATAATTGCCGAACTCTACGCTTTAGGGTCACATTCCTGGCTCCAAGCTAGGGAAAGTGAAGTAAGGACTATGTTTCAGAAAATGAGCTGGGGGCTGGCGAGATAGCTCAGCAGTTAAGAACACTGGCTGTTCTTGCAGAAGACCCAGGTTCAAATCCCAGCACCCACATGGCAGCTAACAACTGTCCATAACTCCAGTTCCAGGGGATCCGACAGTCTCTTCTGCCCTCTGCTGTTGCACGACATGGGTGCACTTATCTACATGCAGGCAACACACGCATACACATAAAATAAAAAAATAATAAAATTTTTAAAACAATGAGCTGAAATGAACCCCCTCTCAGTATGCTTACCTCGGTCTCAAACATTAGCATCTCCAAGAGCTGCCAGCCCCTGTATAAAATGACCTGGCAACTAGACTTAGGGAGCCATTGCCCAGGCAGCTGCCCAGCATTCCTTCCCTGGCCTCTGGGTCAAAGTGCCCAGTGCTAATCAGAAGCACCTTCCAAGCGCCCGGCCAGTGCCAAGTCTTTGGCTGACATCCTTCCCCCAGTGGCTATTACAGTGTAAAGCCCTAAATGGGCTACGAGTGGGAGCCACAGTTGTGGAAGTAATGTTGTCAGCTTGGCCTTCAAAGCATCCAGGCCTGTCTGCTGAGACAAGCCAAAAAAGAAAGTGTGATGTCAGTCAACTGCAAATAATATCCATTAAAACTACTTGCCTATGAATCAGAGTATAAGTTCTCAGGTTTTTGGAACTGCATTAGAATTTTTTTAATGTTTTTAATTTCTTTTGTTCTGTCTGCCTTAATTTACACTTCTGATTACAGTTTAAAGTGACTTTTAGAGCCAGGGGTTTGGCCCAGTGGTAGAGCACTTGCCTAGCACTGTGAAACACTCTGTGTTCAGTCTTTAGTAGCAAAATAGAGTTAACATGGGCTTCAAAGGGCAGGCGTGGAGGCCAGTGCAGTCACCTTTCTTTTGGTTCCTGAAATCCTTCCTGTGGTTTTCCTGATCAGTCTCTGATGGTTGTTGAACATATTCTAACGGAAATTCAGGGCTTAAAGTATAGCCAATGTTTTGTTGTATTTGTTAAACACTACCTTTTAGCTAAAACTTGTTTAATGTAACAACATTTATTTTTAAATGTGTAAATATAAATTACTTTAGGTTGCTATGTGATATTTCTTTTATAAATCATCAAAATAAATCTTTTGGCCTTGATTTCTGTGTCTGACTCTTTTATAGCATGGCTAGTGTCCAGAGTGACTGTTTTACATCTTTTCTCCATCTTCCTCAAGGGCATTTCTGCCACCGCCAGACCAAAAATGAGGCAGCATCAGAAATCTCTATAGTCAGTGGAGATACAGCACAGTGATAGAATGGTTGCTGAGCAGTGTAAGTCCCTGGTTCAACCTAGAGCACTGAGAAAAAGAAAATCCAGGATGGGAGAGATGACTTAGTGGTTCAAATCACTTGCTGCTATGCTGGGTGTGTGGTGCACACCTTTAATCCCAGCAGAGATAGATAGATCTCTGTGAGTTTGAGACCATCTTGGTCTACATAGTGAACTTTAGGCCAACTGGGGCTACAGGGAGACCCTGTATCAAAAGACAAAAAAAAAAAAGAGCACTTGCTGCTCTTGCATAAGACTGGAGTTCAGTTCCCAGCACCCAGCACCCACATCAGGCAGCTCACAACCACCTGAATATCCAGCTCGAAAGGATCTGAGACCCTCCTCTGGCCTCTGCAGACACCAACAGACCCGGACACATACGTACACACAAATACACCTAAATAAAAATAAAATCTTTAGAAAAAAAGGAAAAGAGGGACTAGAGAGATGATTCAGCAGTTAAGAGTACTAGCTGCTCTTGCAGAAGACCTGGGTTCAAGTCCCAGCACCCACAAAATAGCTAACAACTGTTCACAACTCCAGTTCCAGGGAATCCAATCCCTTCTTCTGACCTCCAAGGCATTGCATGACACGAGTGCACTCATATACATGCAGGCGATACACTCATACACATAAAATAAAAATAAGAAGACGGTGTTGGATCCCCTGGAACTGGAGTTACAGACGGTTGTTAGTTGCCATGTGGGTGCTGGGAATTGAACCCAGGGCCTCTGCAAGAGCAGTCAGTGCTCTTAATTGCTGAGTCATCTCTCCAGCCCCCAATTTTTATTTTTTTAACCCTTTTGCCAACTCCTAAGAGCCTGTGGCTAGGGCTGGAATATAGCTCGGTGGAGTACTTGCTTAGCATGTCCAAGGCTGTGGGTCCTATTCCCAGCACCACAAAAAAAAATAAAAATAGCTGGCTCAGCAGTTAGAGCACTGGCTGCCCTTACAGAGGACTTGGGTTGAGTTCCCAGCACCCACGTGGTGGCTAACAAGCTTCTGTAACTCCAGTTCCAGGGTGTAAAATAAATAAAACACATAAAATCAAATTAAATAACATGGATTTTGTTTCCACTAGAATGGATAAATTAACTGGTCTCACTGTCTTTAGTTTTGAGCCTCTTGTATTCCACTTCCCACCAGTGCATGAATACATCCACTTCCCCCAAGGTGGCTTCCCTTACTCTAAGCTCCTCTGCCTAGCAGCCATGCCCTCTCCATCTGCAGGCCTGTGTTAGTTTTCTGTTGCCATGACAGAAACACCGTGACCAAGGGAACTTATAAAAGGAAGGGTTTATTTAGCTTATGGTTCCAAAGGGGCAAGAGTCAGTTCATCATGGCAGGGAGGCATGGCAGCAGAGGTGGCTGGAGGAGGATGGAAGCTAAGCTCTCACGTCTTCAAGCAGACACAGGAAGCAAGAGAGCTACTTGAGATCCAATAAGACTTAAGAACTCTCTAAGCCCACCCCCAGTGATGTGCTTCCTCCAGGCCGCCCACACCTTCTAAAACTTCCCAAAACAGTGCCACCAACTGGGGACAAAAATGTCCAAATACATGGAGCCTATGGTGGACATTCTCATTCGAACCACCACAACGCCCAACCTACTCATCTCATCTGTCATGACTGACAGCAAGCAATATCAGCTATGTCACTCATTATGACTGCTGCTTTCCTCTCTGCACCTTTATTAATGCCATTCCTTGGACCTGGAAAGTCACTCTTCAACCCCTCCTTTATGGACTCTGATCTCTGCCACCCACCCTGGTTGAGATACAATCTCTCATCCATTAAAACATTATATGAGAGGCTGGAGAGATGGCTCAGCATTTAAGAGCACTGACTGCTCTTGCAGAAGACCTGGGTTTGATTCCCAGCACCCACATGGCAGCTACAAACCGTGTTTAACCCCAGTTCCAGGGGAATCCGACACCCTCTTCTGACCTCTGCAGCGTTACATGACACAGGTGCACTCACATATTTGCAAGCAATACACTCACACACATAAAAAATAAAAATAATAAAACTATTAAAACATGTTTTATTTGGTAGTCTTTTTTTTTACTATTTATTACTTTTATGTGTATGAGTGTATTGCCTGCATGTGTGTAAATATAACTCGTGTTGTGCAATGCCCAAGGAGGTCAGAAGGTGGTGTTGGATCCCCTGGAACTGGAGTTATGGATGGTTGTTAGCCACCATGTGGGTTCTGGAAATTGAACCAAATCCAGGTCTTCTGCAAGAACAACCAGTGCTCTTAACTGCTGAGTTATCTCTTCAGCCCCAACTTCTTTTGGGAGGGGGGCTTCTTTTTGAGACAGGGTCTCCCTATAGCCTCACCTGGACTGGAACTTTATAAATCAGACTGGCCTCAAACTCAAAGAGATTTGCCTGCCTCTGCCTCCCAAGTGCTGGGATTAAAGGCACCCCACCCCCAACCCCATGCCAGGCTCCAGTAGCCAGTGCTTTTGACTGCTGAGCAATCTCTCCAATCCCAGGATTTAATTTTTATTTGGGGGTGGATAAATATTGTATTTTTTATTTTTCTATATATGAGTGTATTGCCTGCATGCATGTAAGTGCACCCTTGTCATGCAATGCCTGTGGAGGTCAGAAGAGGGCATCAGATTTCCCTGGACCTAGTGTTACAGATGGTTGTTAGACTCCATGTGCATGCTGGGAATCAAATCTAGGTCCTCTGCAAGAGCAGTCAGTGCTCTTAACTCTGAGCCATCTCTCCAGCCCCCCCTTTTTTTTGTTTTTTGCTTTTTATTTAAGATGGTCTCATATAGCCAAAATTGGCTTCCAACTCACCACATAGCCAAGGATGACCTTGAACTCCTCACCCTCCTGCCTGTACCTCTCCTAGGATTTCCAGCCCATGCCATCACACCTGATTGGGAAATAGTTCTGCAATTATTTAGGAATAGCCTAGTTCTGTATAGGCAAAATACTTCACCAATTATTTAGTAAATATTTATTGACCATTCATTCCATAGTCTTTACACAGTGGTGAAAACATACCAGTTCTTTTTCTCATGGGGCTTATGTTGTTTTTATTCTTGGGTTTTTTTTGGCGAGGGGGCTTTTTTTGGTTTTTTGAGACAAGGTCTCCCCCCTGTAGCCCCAGCTAGCCTGAAACTTGCTACATAAATGAGGCTGGCCTCAATCTCACAGAGATCTGCCTGCATCTCCTGGGATTAAAGGCACATGCCACCACACCTGGCTTATGTTTTTATGTATTAAGTATTTAGGGAATGTTTGTTTGTGACAGGGTCTTACTCTGTGTCTCAGGGTGACCCTGAACACACATAGCTCAGACTGGCCCAGGATTCGAATCCAAGGCCGTTCTCCTTCAGCCTCTCAGTGCTGAGGTTATAGGCATGAGCCACTTCACCCAGCTTCAAATCTCTTTTTCATAAGTTCAAACCTTTGAAAGCTTCTGTACACCTGATGTGAAATCCTGAGGGGATGGGTGTGCCACTTGACCTTGAAAATCAGGTTTATGAAAGACATTGAGACAAACACTGGAGTCAGCAGTTTGTTTTAGCCTTTGTTTCATTTGCTTCAGATGTCGAATCTAGCACTGGTTACAAAGCAGATTCTCTAACATTTCTGAGGGCCACACCTCACTGTTCAAAATAAAATTTCCCCAAATAGAAAAATACTGATGTCGTATTTAAATTTGAAGGCAGAGCTAGGCAAGGTGGCCAGTGGGGATGCACACCAGTCACCCCAGCACTCAGGAGGTAGGGACAGGAGGATCAGGAGTTCAAGTTCATCCATGGGGAGTTCCATGCCAGCCTGGACTACAAGAAATCCCATCTCAAAAAATTTAAAAATCAATAAATAAACATTTGAAGGCAGGAAGAACACCAGGAAATGGCCTACTTCCTCTCAGTAAAAGCATGTTATGTTACAGCCTCAGATAAATAGAGTACAGTGTTTCAGCTGAGAAGTAAACTATGTTTCTCATAGAAATGTAAATCCAGATGCCTGTGCCTTTCAGGGCAGCCACAAGCTGAGTGGTCAGCTGTTTTTGCTCTAAGGGAAATACGGAAGATTATCTCCAGACCTCCGCAGCAGAGTGCTGTGCAAACAGGCACCCTAAAAAGACGCAACATGCCCCAGCTTCGCAGTCCTCAGATCCGGTGAGGAAGAGCACTAAGAACACTAGTAATTTTCCAAGTGGTGTTGACTTTCACTTTATCTCCAGGCTAGGGTGGAAACTTAAAAGTTCCAAGTCACTGCCAGCCCTGGGCCTGCGAGCCAGAAAGCAGAATTGCACAACTGAGCAATGTTTGAACTATCATCCCTCACCCTGCCCTCACCCCAAGAGGCTCGACTCTTGGAGGAGACATTAAAGATGAATACATGCACACACACATAACAGTACTAAATTTCTGAGCATTCTCACTGACCAAGCAGCTGCAACATAAAACATTTTCAACAGTGTCGATACCTGTCATGATCACACAAGTACATGGGTCCAAGCCTTCCCTCACACATCATCAGTACTCATTTTAAGTGTTTTACAATCTCACTTAGCAATCTGAAACATGTTTTAGTTTAGTTGAGATTGAAAGCAATCTGGATAGGATAGTCAGGTCTTTTTAATGTTAAGAACTGTTTGGTGGGGACTGTGAAGTATAGCTCAATGGTAGAGCATTTATGTAGCATGTATAAGGCCCTGGGTTCAGTTCCTAGGGAAGGAAAAAAAAAAGAGAGAGTTGTCTGAGAGATACAAGACTGTTCACACATCTCTTCAAAAATATACATTGTTTTATTCTGTTTTAAATAAATTGTTTTGAGTGCTGGGCATTGAA